ACAGACACAGCAAACCTTCTTGCCACAGCTCGCATTGATGTGCCATCCTGGATGAGCTGCACTACCTGAGCCACTTGTGTGGGTTGTAGACACCGTCTCATGCTACCACTAGAGTGAAAGCACCGCCAGCATTCAAAAGTGACCAAAACTTTTTGCCAGGAAGCATAGGAACTGAGAAGTGGTCTGTCGTTACCACCTGCAGAAACACTCCTTTATTAGGGGGTGTCTTGCTAATTGCCTATAATTTCCACCTGTTGTCTATCCCATTTGCACAACAGCATGTGAAATTGATTGTCAGTCAGTGTTGCTTCCTAAGTGGACAGTTTGGTTTCACAGAAGTGTGATTGACTTGGAATTACATTGTGTTGTTTAAGTGTTTCCTTTATTTTTTTGAGCAGTGTATATAAACCCTAATTTATCTGGAAAATCTGATGTTACACCAAATAAGCATTTAGGATTCTTTTCATTTAAGAAATATGAACATTACAGCTACACGCAGAGATGGCAAATCGCATAATTCAATAGTACAAGACAGTCCTCCTTATCAGTCACCTTGATAAGCGTTGTCACGTTACATATGTGGTGGGTAAATACATCACACTAAAATAATGACTAGATGGGAAGAACAATCGTTAATTACTTAGAATTCCATACCACAGGCAGCTGCAGTTCCTCATTGTTTTGGAGAATTCAGACTTGTCTTCAAGAGATACAAATGGATTCATCTTTAATGACTAACTTGGGCACCAAACACATTCGCCTCTAATTCTGAAAATTTAATAATTTTATGATTTCTCAAATACCAGAGGTAGACAGTTGATTCTAACATGCCTAATACTTTAGTTATATCTACTCAAGAAAGCACCAGACACTCATGCCATTGCTGAATGAGTGAATAGTGTATTCTAAATACCCTTTTATTGCGTGATAGTTTCTGTGTTTATTGGACTTTGAACTGTTTTTGGCACCTGGTAAGTGCCATTTGTGGTGTTTGCTGGTTCACGGTTCACGTCTGGAATGAAAGAACAATCCATCCAATTTCAGTAGTGATGGTTTTTATCAAAGTTTCAGTCATGTCTCCAGTCACCTGGCTCCAATTGTTCAGTGGTGATGGTCTTTTCAGGCATGTATACATCTTTACCTTTAATTTTGAGAGACAATATACATTTAATGACAAATGCTTCAACATTTAATAATTTATGAGATAACTCTGTTGGTTAATGCACTAATACAAACCTGAAGTATGAATTTTAATAAATGTTCCCAAATGAAGTCACAATCTAGTCACACTAGAATTCTCCTGAAAGTCTAAAAGTTACCGATTTGATTCCTGTTAGGGATGTCTTTTCCTTATACTATACTATAGGCACCAAAACAACTTTATTTTAATAAAGCAGTTTAGGTATATAGATCATGCCACTGCTGTCTCACTGCTCAATTCTCTGCCATTTATGAGTTAAATCACTTTGGTTATGCAGTCCTAGCCACACCTCCCTGCATGTGACTTATACAGCATTCCTAAACTCTTCTTCAAATTTCTTATTTTCTGCTCTGTTAATAGCCTTCTAGACCCTGCAGGAACCTCCCGTGTGTAATTACAATTCTATTTACAGAGCAGGAGATAAAAACTTCTAAAGCAAGTTAACATCTGATTGAACATTTTACCTTTTTTTTCATGCAGGCTGTGTGAGTCAAAGCCAGGGAAGGTGTTTGTAGGGCAGCATAAACAGAAATTGATTCAACTCCTAAATGGCAGAGAAATGAGCCGTGAAACTGCAAAGGAACAAAAACTGCTTAATTTAGCTACAGTTGTTTTGAGTCCTTTTAAGTTGGATATTTGAAAAAAAAAGAATCATTATCTGCTAAAATTGGGAGCAGGTACTGAAGTGCTTTGAATGCCCCCCAAAAAGATGTATTTATTTTTATTATTAGGTATGAGAGAAATAGTTATTTATAAATAGACATGTTTCGATTCAGTAGCTGTTGGAACTTTCTTGTGAAAGCAAGGTCCTCAAACTAGCATTTCCTACCTTTGGAGGTCACATTCTCACATTGGTTTTGAGGTGTTTTGATCCATTTCTTCTTACAGTACAGCTTTTACTCAAGACATCTGGTGGCTTCCTGCTGAGGGCAGATTCGGTTCCTCTCATAACATTGACTATGGTCTAAGTCCACACTTTGACCACAACATTTCAGAATGCCTTCTTCTGCACTCATTCTACCTTACATCTGCTCACGTTGCATGAGCCTTTTCCAGTGCAGCTCAAAAGTGGCCCGACATTATATGACTTGTGTTAGCAAAGGCAACTCATTCACACCATAACCCCAAACCATCTCCTCCCATAATCACGTTGGCTTAGATGTTATTTTTCTGTTTATGTTTTGCAAACATCACATTTCTCATGGAGAATGTTTTTATTTTGAGACATCTGTCCAGTCCAGACATCATGCCCCAGCATTTGGCTCCACCCCATTGACAATCTAAACAGTAATTGGTTTTGATTAATGAACACTTTCGATGCTATTAAGTTAAGGCTCTAGAATTGACAAAGAGTTCCTCACCTCTATAGCTACTGTGTGTGGAGGGCTTTTAGGGAGTTTTTTGCTTATTCAATAAACCAGGAATTGTCAGAGATTGATCAAATAATTTTAACGTAACGCTCCAAGCACCATAACAACTTCAGACACTGTAGGAGTTATGGTTCCATAAGTACCCTGGCACAATTCTGTTGTAAGTAGTGAAATTCTCTATTTTGTTTTTATACGTTTTGACAGCTTGACTATGCCCTGCTGGTTGCCTGTGACCGCAGTCCCTGCTTCTGATATTCTCCTATAGAATAATCCAGTTAGCTCTACAGAGCTTAGTATCGTCACGCTGCACCATACACACTGATGCAGAGCACTCAACTGTAGTGGTTATGGTGCTTAAAACGTTCCTTTACATTTTAGCTCAAAAGCAAAATATTCCTCAACTCCGCTATGTGTTCTGTCTTGGCTACAAAATTTGACAATTTCTTTTACAGTGATTAAACTTGCCAATATTACTTCACCATTACATAACTGCGTGTCATTGATACATATCTAATTTATAGCTATGGGTACTATGATTCCCAGCATTATCTCACAATCCTTCTCGTACCACTGAGGCCAAATTACTTCATTGATAATGTCAGCTCTTAGGTAAAATGAGGCTAGACAAGGACGTTCCCATTCACAATCATAGAAATGTTCAAATCATGGAGAATATCTAGATTATATTATTTAAATATATATACAATTCTCCTCCCAGTTAATTAGCAAGCTTTAGCAAACCTTCTCAGATTTGGATCAAACTACCAGCTGATTAATAGTGACTAGAGCTTTTCTTTGGAGAAACAGAATATTCAACGATATAGTTAATATACGTGAATCGTTGTACGTAATGGCTTGAGCCTTGTTTTAATCTGTATTACAATCAGGGTGAGTGAGAATTCAAAGAGAATTTCGTATTTAAGACCAGAGTAACGAGCTGAAAGCACAGTTAGCGTAGAGAGTTTCCCAATTCGGGTATTTTGACTTTAAAGGAAAACTATAGTGTCAGGAATACAAACATATATCTCTGACACTAGAGTGCAGCAATCAATGTTTAGGTGTCCGTTCCCACTCTTTGTTGAGATGAAAAGGTTAAAACTTACCTTCTCTCCCACGTTGCGCCAGTCTCGTCACGGCTGGCCCCACCTCCACAGCTGAGATCATCAATCTAGATGAGCTCATCCAATACAATGCTTGCCCATGGAAAAACATTAGGAGGCTATTGCGCATGCACAACAAAACACTGCGCCAATCACCATCTCATCATAGAGATGCATTGAATCAATGCATCTCTATGGGGACCGTTCAGTGCCTCCATGCAGAGTGTGAAGAAGCTGAATGCCAGTGCTGCACAGACACAGGTAGTCCCTTTAGTGGCCGTGTGAGTGACAGTCACTAGAGGTGTTACTAGGCACCAATGTAAAAAATGCATTTTCTCTGAAATGGCAGTGTTTACAGTGCTAATACTACAGGGACTTGCTATAGACACCAGAACTACTACATTGCGCTGAAGTGGTTCTGGTGACTATAGTGTCCCTTTAAATTTCAAATTAATTTTGAATTCTCACTTTAGTGTATAATACTTTGTATGACTATCATGTAACAAAAACACTGAGTCTTCTGTAAATACTATCTAGCAACCTTCTTTTCTATTCCTTGCCCCACTCCCTCTAGCATGTAAGCTCATTGAGCAGGGCCCTCAACCCCTCTGTTCCTGTGTGTCCAACTCATCTGGTTACATTTACGTGTACAGCGCTGTGGAATTTGTTTGCGCTATATAAATAATAAATGATAACCACATATTTGAAAATATTTAACATATTCTGGTGATGGAGTTTTGCTACTTTCAATTGATGACAATCTTTAGTCACGCCTTGTAGAAATTTCACATTACAATCTTGCATTGTGACTCATTGCCTTATATAACAATCCAAAATACTTTATTAGAAAAAAATAAAATGTCATCTGGAAGGAGGGGGAAAAAACCCCCAAAAAACTTGCTTCAAATAAATCCACCCAACACACCATGTTGGGGACTGTGCTCTCTATTCAGGGATACATTTGTAACCCTAACAACAAAACATTGCAAAAAGTTAGTCAGGGATACTATCAATGACCTAATCACACTCCTAAATGAAGGGAAGGGATTGACTGCTGCATCCTCCCAAATACTGCGGCACCAACCCCGTGTGTGCAGCACTGCAGGAGTTAACTCGTGTCTCATGCCTGAAGATGATCCTTGCACACAGGCTCAGTCATGAAAATGACTCAGAAATCCCCAAACCCCCTCTTTCCTGTGTAACCTGACATCAACTCAGGCCTCTGTGGTACCGTTTACAGCCCTCCCTGAATCCCAGCTCCAGCCAGTGTAGAGTGACGGGCTGGCCTTAAGGTTGTACACAGCCTGCACGTGTACTGGGAGGAGGATACTGGGCAGTGATGGAAGGGGAGAGGAGGAGGGAGGGAGGGACATGGCATGGGGTTTGCTGATTTTTTTTTTTTTTTGTAAGAGAGGAAATAGAGCCGCCAAGCTGGGCTGCAAATCATTAAAAGTCTTGCTTGCCTGCCAGCGTGCAAAATACAAGAGAGGAACATAGAGGCAGGTCCTGTCTCACCCTACCTGCCTTCCCCCTGACCTGCCAGGCTACCTTGACCTTCTGGATGCTCAGGGTCAGCAACACGCAAGGTTCCAGGTGTGCGTTCTATCCAGGTAAGCCTGTAGAACGTTGGGGATCACTGTCTGCATCTGGAGTGGGCGGCTGGTCTCCAGGGAACTGCTAGGAAATTCTCTACTGCTGAATGATGGCTGGATTAATGCAAGCAGCAGGGCTCAGGGCTTTCTGGGGGGAAAGGAAAGCACAGCAGAGGCACGAGCATAGGATGTACAGATGTGTGCTGCCTTGTTGGGCTTGGGGTATGTATACTTTGGATCTGGGGTGAGGGGAGGTATAGATGCTGTGGTCTGGACTCCAACTCAGAGCATGCAGCTAGAGTACCAGATGTAGCCTCTCCCTGTGTGTGACACCCATTCATTATTTTTTGGACATTACTTGGTGCATAGCAGAGAGGGAGCCAATGGTAGCTGACAGCATGCTGTGAGTTGGGCTGAGCACAGCTGGAATGCTGTAGGTGGCCTAGCCTTGTGTGTGACCCTTGTTTGTGTTGACACCCATTCATCTGTGGCACCCTTTGTAAAACAGGAAACCAAGTGGCAGTGAATAATGCAGGGCATTGTCCTTCAGACTTGCTGGGATTGTAAATTCTTGCAACATTTCTCTCTGTTGAAAGTGGCAACCTTTTTTATTTTGAAGAATTTGTAGCCAAGCCTCAAGAAGCACAGACATGGTGGGCTAAGCATTATGTGAGTGGAGATCCAAAGTACTGGCAGTGCCAAGGGATTTATCACCAGCAGTAAGTTAATGTCCATTCATTTTGGAAATCAGTTTAGCAACTTCCTGTAGCAGGGCAAGAGGTCGTGAGCTTGGAGTAAAATTATTGTTTTGTTTTAGTAATAGCAAAATAAACAAGTAAAAGCTAAAAGCCATGGACCAAAAACAACCCTAGGCCTCTCTGATAACTAACTACCTTTGGCACTGCAGAAGTTTGCAAACTACATTCCCCAGATGCCTCCAGGCTGGTTAAATATCATGGGAAATGTATGTCCTAATCATTTGCAATGCTAAGGTTAGCCATCAGTGGCCTAGGGTCTGGAAGCAGATGTGCTGCTAGTAATTAGATTTCTCTAATCCCCACCCTGCCTTCTAAAACCATAAAGTCTGGAGCAGAATGCAGTTCTTTGTTTATGATCGGTTAAACCAAGAGCTGGAAGATTTGAAAGGAATTGTTTAAGATTCCTGGAGGCATTAAAAGTTTGGCTATGACTGGCGCAGTGTATTAAAATAAATAAATGAAAATGTGTGTGTTTATGTGTGGGAATGGGGGCAAGAAGGATTATAGTAGACATGCTGGTGTTTAGGAATTCACACCGGGAATAAAAAAAAAAATATATTTTTGTATGTTTAGCTTCATAAAGCCAGAAAACAAAGCGAATAAACATACAAAATAACAACCTGGAGACAATGTATAAATAACTATTCTTGGAGAAAGTTCTAAATGTAGATCAGTAATTAGAAACATTCCGTTGGTTTCCATGGTGATAGCTCCGCTTTTAGAACTGCAATTTTTTTTTTTTTTACAGATAACCCTTGCGTATCACGCCATTAGAATTTCTATCTTAAGGTTGTTATTTTTGGCTTTTTTTTGGTCATGCTTGCTAACGTTGTTCTATCCTTTCATTCAGTACTCCTATCCCTGTTTCTTTTCCCCAATTTCTTTTGCATTCCTTCACCTCTCCTTCCCCTCCATCTCTCGTTCTTTTCTTTTGCCCGCTCACTCTTCCTCCTTTTTTTTTATGGAGGCGACATTTTCCGAGCTCTGTACAGCCTTTCATTCCCAAGCAAAGATGTAGTTTCTCCACACAGATTCCTGACTGGTCTTTGCATTCAGGCTGGTGGTATAAAGGGGACTTTGTGAAATAATATGATGCAGTGGTCCAACCACTGAATGGAATTTAAGGGGGGGGCAAGTGACTTCTGTAATTTTCCTTTTTTTAGATGCAGAGGGCGGTTTTTATTCTTCAAAATCGCAATCTAGAAAACAATTGTATTTCTTTTTACATCCATTCTGTATGACGGAGAATTCAGTACATTTTTGAAACCTCCAAAGTATTTCATAATATTATTTTGAGAATCACTTGGTTTGGCCTCATTTCATTCGTAAATCCCTCATGTTGTTCGTCTGTGTCATTTTTGGTTGTGTTGGAATTTTAAAGCCACAGTGCACATTACCTCCCTATAAGTTCATTTTATTTCCAAGGGTCCTCAATTTAATTCGATAAATCTAATTGCTTGATTTTTCTTTTTTTTCAACAAAAATAATATTGCTACGGTAGATGCAAAATGACTTCCAGAGTCAGTATTTTGCCATAATCCATAGGTCATGTCCTGAGTCTAAGGCGCTCTGATGTATGAATAGTTGATGCGTTACCAATGTAAATGAAATAAAAAATAGATACTAGATATATTTCCATTGTATAATGTGGGTATTTTTTTAATAATTTCTGTCAAAATAAATATTGTGTTAATTACTTCATATTTAGCAATTAACCAGAGCCAGTGCCCTATAGATCTATGTACAAACGTTTCACAAATCTTTGGAATCAGGAGAACGTTTTTGGAGCAAATGCCCCTGGGGTTTGTGAAGTCCTTCAATAGATAATGTTTCACAGATTCTGAGCAGTATGTGTTATAGCAAACTTTAATTTTAAGTTTAGTGTTTCTTTAATGACGGCGGATTTCTGTTAAAAAACTTTATTTTAAAGTGCGTCTTGTGTCAATGCAATAGCGGTAAATGGTTAGCACCGAAAAATAATAATAATCTACATTTAGCAACGAAGAAATCAGGGATTTAAAGGTTAACCACTGTGAAATGCATCTGTTTAAGAAAGAAATTGAAACCAGATACACTTTTCTGTATCTTCATAAAGTATTTTCAGCTGTTTCAGGAATAAGTAGTAACTCTAAAATTGTTTTAAAACAACCACAATAAGTGAAGCAGAGAATATAGTTCATACCACCGCCCTAAAATCAACTCACCCCCACAAAAGAAAATCTAATTCTAGCAGGCTTGCAGTGTGACTAAGCTCATATCATCATAGGTTGTGAATGAATCTAGCATACATCATTTTAAATGCTCTTTTAAAAGAAGCTTCTAGAGTAGAATATATGGTATAAAAGTTTTTATATGTGTTTAAAGGGTTACTCCAAGTAGTTTGAAGTGGTCATGGTGACTGAAATCTGTACGTGAAACGTTACTCTTTTAACCCCTTTTCTGCCACATGTTGTAACTCCACATTCTGCAGCGTCATTGGAGCGTCATCTGCCAGTTCTGTCCTGGCTAATGTCAATTCTGTGCAAATTTTGTTGCACAGAAATCCAATCATTTGCTGACAGTGGTCAGCTGATACTCTCAGCCAATGAATGGGTGACAGAGATTAAATTTAGCTTTGTTGTAAACCCTGCTTCAGAGACGATCTGGCGCCTGGCAGCACCAAGTAAATTGGCAAACCACTGTAAAACAGTTTGCCTTATTAACAAGGGTACAAACACCCCAGGGTACTCCTTACACCATAAGCACTTCAGCAGACTGGTTGGAGTAACCCTTTTGTAGAAAAAACAAACATACACGTTTTAACGCTTTTATTCATGACCAAATCATTGCTGGGATTAAAGACTTGTATGATATTAAAGCACAATTTGGCATATACACTGATTAGCCACAACATTAAAACCACCTGCCTATTATTGTGTAGGTCCTCCTCGTGCTGCCAAAACAGCTATGATAGATCGAAGCATGGACTCCACAAGACCTCTGAATGTGTCATAATGTATCTGGTACCAATACATTAGCAGCAGATCCTCCATGTATCACATTCATTTATCCTGCACATCCCACAGATGCTCAATTTGATTTAGACCTGGGGAATTTGGAGGCCAAGGTAACACCTTGTCATGCCTGTCAAACCATTCCTGAATAATTTTTGCAGTGTGACAGGGTGCGTTATCCTGCTTAAAGAGGCCACTGCCATCAGGGAACCCCATTGTCTTGCAGGGGTGTATATGGTCTTTAACAATCTGTATGTAGGTGGTACGTGCCAAAGTAACATCCACATGAATGCTAGGACCCAAACAGAACATTGCCCGGAGTATAACACTGCTCCGCCAGCCTCCCTTCTTCCCATAGTGCATCCTTCTGCCATCTCTTCCTCAGTTCAACAACGCACATTCACCCAGCCATGCACCTGAGCTAAAAGAAAACATGATTCATCAGACCAGGCAACCTTCTACCTATGCTCCATGGTCTAGTTCTGATGCTCATGTCCCCATTAAACGTGCTTTTGGGAGTGGATAAAGGGTTATTATGAGCACTCTGATCGGTCTGCGGCTACACAGACCCATACGCGGCAAACTGCAATACATTGTGTGTTCTGACATCTTTCTATCATGGACAGTATTACGTTTTTCAGCAATTTGAGCTTCAGTAGCTCTTCTGTGTGATTGGACCAGACTGGCTAAGCGTTGCTCCTTACATGCTCTTTATGAACTTTGGGTGCCCATGGCGCTGATGCCAGTTCACCGGTTGTCCTTCCTTGCACCACTGTTGGTAGGTACTAACCACTGTATACCGGGAACACCCCACAAGACTTGCCATTTTGGATATACTCTCACCCAGTCATCTAACGGCACTATTTGGCCCTTATCAAAGTCACTCCGATCTTTTTACTTACCCATTTTTCCTGTTCCCAACACATGAAATTCAAGAGTTGGCTGTTCACTTGTTGCCTAATATATCCCATCCATTGACAGGTGCCATTGTAACAATATAATCAATGTTATTCACTTCACCTGTCAGTGTTTCTAATGTTGTGGATGATCAGTGTGTATGTTTCAAACAAAGCAAAAATCTGCAAAATGTAAAACCGAAACCAAAAGTCATAATCACCAAAAATTAATATCTTTATGTAACAGCGTTCTCATCTCATTTACTCTTTGGGTGCCACATGCCTTTTTTGGCCATTTTCTTGGCCAACATCAGTTCTTTGCTAGAGTTATAAAACAGGAGAAAACGCCTTGGAAAAATTTGAAATGTGTCTGCTGAGGACATGGTCAAGGATAGATAAATGGCCAGTGCCACTATATAAGTGTGAGCGTCCAGTATTGTGTTACCAAATCACTATGTTGTAGAAAATAGAACAAGAATCGTGTGCCATTGCCATGCAGTGCACACCTGTGCGCTGAGTAACAAAGTTTTATGCCAACAATCTCAGCATGGCATAGATCTGGCTGTAGTTTTCCCACCAATGTTGCTCTTCATAGAGAATGCCTGTTGTATTCCACTCAAGCTTCCCAATATATGACCCCTGCCCATTCATCGTTCACGCCCATGCATTTTACAGACATACAGACTCAGTTGTTTGACAAAAACAAGCCCTTTCAAATACCAGTGATGTTGGCTGTGTCACTTGACCACTGTGACCCTTACCTTTTATGACACCAAGTAATGGGTTATTAGTTAAAGGCAGAAGTATCTTGGAGCCACATCGTCTTTTCACAGTTGTGCATGCAAAATAGAAGTTGGTGAAACATCCCACGAACATAGTTGTCATTGTCATCTATTGAATATCACTAGAGGTGAATGATGGCAAAAAGTACAATATGTCCAGTTGAAGATTATTGACATTTCATCTTTTGCCATCCTGGGCCAAATATCGTTGCATACAAGTGACAAATTAGTCCCTACTAAGTAAAATTCCACTATAATATATGTGTTTTTCGTGAAGATTAAGTGGAACTCAGAAGTGACAGTGTTGCGTTAAAAGACCTTTCAACACACATAAAATACTTCTGATAGCTGAAGTGCTCTATGGGTGAGAAGTATCCCATTTTAAAGGCACTTTTATCATTAAATCATGAAACACCCATGGACTGTCAATCAGACAGCTAGGGGGGCATTATCTTGCTTCTGAGGTGCACTTGCTAACGGAGGTGTACTTGAGCGTGCCTGCCTCTCCCCATCACCCCCCCGTATTGCTACTCACAGACCTGCGTTCTTTCTGAAGTGTGCGCATGAGCAGACGCACACACGGAGGGATAGCTTCAGATGGTTTTCAATAGTTATTTCCCTGTGAAGACATTGAAAGTCTCTTCTGGGGAAAAGGTGAGGCTTGCTAAGGCTGCAGTTAATAAGAACTGCAGATTTTGCATGCTCTTTGAAGATATACCCCCAATGAATACATGCATTAAAAATGCATGCATAGATTCATTGAGGGTATATATACTAAACAGGGATTTTTGTTGTTATTTTTTTCCCCATAATTAGCACTGTGTAGTGTTATTTTTAAATAAATTATCTTGGCATATTAAGACATGTACTTGATTTTTTTCCTACTTTCAATAACTCCTGTGCTACACTATGAAGCCTGGTTGATAGCCTTGAACAGCGATGGCAAACCTAGGGCACGTGTGCCACAGCTGGCACGCCGAGCCCTCTCTGTAGGCAATCAGCCATAGGTCGCCGGGGGCACGCCGCTGGCGCCAGACGGCAGCCTTAGGTCCCACAGCGGTAGAGTCGCAGAGGGGGAAGATTGAGAACCCCTACCTAGAGCGCCACAGGGAATACAGTGTCACCGGACCACTAGGGAAAAAGCTGCCCCCCTCCCTGGAAGCAGATAAGAATCACTAAAAAAATATTACATTTAAATATAAAAAAATATATATATAATAAAAAATTAAAAGGATGCTGCCCACTCAGACCCTGCAACACTCAGCCCCCCTCCTAACCTTTAAAGTCTCTATCACACTACACAAACTGCACCCCCTCACAATCACACACACTGCAACCCCTCACAATCACACACACCGCACTCCTCACAATCACACACACTGCACCCCTCACAACCACACACACAGCACCCCCTCACAACAACACATACTGCACCCCTCACAGACACTGCACCCCTCACAACCACACACTGCAGCCCTCACAACTACACATACTGCAGCCTTCACTATCAAACACACTGCACCCCTCACAACCACACACACTGCAGCCCCTCACAACTACACTTACTGCACCCCTCACAATAACAGTGCCGTGTTGGCACTTTGAGGAAAAAAAGTTGGTTTGTATTGCGGTTTGGGCACTTGGGCTCAGAAATGTTCGCCATCACTCGCCTAGAATATGTCACTCAGTGGAGGGAACTCTTATAAACATCAAAGCACTTAGTCCATCTTTAACTCTGTCTAACTGTCCCTGGGATTTATTTCCCGTAATGACAATGTGTTTCATGAAACCAGTGATAATTGTTGTTGAGCGACTTCTATTTAGATTTATTGCAGACATTGAGCTAACAGGCTAATATAGTCAGGAAGAATGCTTAGGAGCCATTATGCGGTTTATTGCACCGTTGACGTTAAAGGCATTCTGACACATATTTCTGTAGGTCGTTGTGGAAGAACAGAGGTTAATTAAGGCCTACCTCGTATGCTGGTGCACAGCAGAATCTCCCTGCTTGTACAAGCATGCACAGGTATATTCTCCTACATCCCTTTAGCTCAAAACACGCTTCAGCTGTGAACGAGTCACTGCAAGTTCTTATTGCCAAGGCGTTTTTTTTTTTTTGTAGGTCTAGAAATCACGCACAGACTGTTCCAGGAAACCGACAATTATACATCCAGGAAAGAGGCGAGAGGTTCGTGATCGCGTTCCAATGTCTCTTTCCCTTGTTTAACCCATTGGTCAACAGGATCGTCTCCTCCTGAAAGAATGGCTGCAAAACGTAGCGGTTCGCTCGTTCGTTTTTCTAGTTTGGCATGTCGGTGTCCTGTTGACTTTTCTGAATTCAGAAGGGTTAAGCTACAGAGAACTGAGACTTCGATAATAAAAGCTTACAGAAGTGTCATTGTGGGACGAAAGAGGCTCCCAGCTGCACAGCAGAGCTCATTTGTGTTTGCTCTGTCACGATGCAGAGCGAGTACAGAAAGAGCTCTCGATGAGGGACATGATGATATAAGAGACTATAATGATTGCACATAGTGCAGGCAATCGTGCTTGCCATTAGATAGATCTATGGCTTTTTGTATGAAGAGTAAAGCAATGGATGTATGGAATAGCAGGGCATTCTCAGTTGCTGCCCATAGTGATTATTGCTGATTTTTTTCTTAATTTGCCCTAGAAATTGCCTTATCACGACAATAAGAATAAAGGTAATTATGTTTCTGCCTGATCAGTTACCACGCTGTAATGTTACCAGGCATTCCCTATTGCCTGCTGGGTGCATTTACTGAACAGGGAGTTGCAATAAGTTGTCAACCAATTCACAAAATTTAGACCAAAGCAGACAGGTTCTAAAAAAAAATATGTTCTCCAGCTCAGGATTATCTAATAGTTGTTTTAAAATAAATAAATAAATAAGTAAATAATTTCAGTTACGCATCATCTAATTCAGTTTCGTGTAATCATTTCGAGCCTCAGTGGGAAATAACGGGATCTGTAGCAGTTTTGAGAATTCACCAGTGTGGTACCTGGAACCACTTTGGGGAATCGCGAATGGGGGATCTGGAGCCACTTTGGGTAATCAGTAATGTGAGATCATTCTGGAGCCATAATGAGAAATAATTTCTGTTTAATATGTAGCTACATTGGGAAGTCTCTAAGTAGGATCTGTAGGCACTTTGGAAAATCACTAATGTAGATTTATGGAAAATTACTAATGTGAGAAATGTACCCACTTTGGCATGTCACTAATGTGATATCTGTAGCCATTTCAGGAAGTCACTAAAGCCGATTTTATCCTGCTTGTCAGAATGGTCTACAAAGGCCTTATGACATTATGGTATGGCCTGTACATTAACTTTCAGCAATGCTAGAATGTTTACCACTGAAATAGCAGGACATCTCCATTCCATGTCATTGAGGGGTCTTTAATGGGTTACAAGTAGTTTATTCCACATCTTTGGACATCTAAGACATTCGCCCCCTTCACACCAGGGAATGGTTGAAGAAATCCAAATGTAGATTTGCGTCATGTTGCGTCAGATCATAAAAAGCATTCAAGTGTTCATGATTTTCTGAAACCAAGGACAATGTTTGGAATGTCCGAGCCACAGAAGTTCCACTGCCGGGACTGTCCTGACCAAATAGGGATTTTTGACAATTCATGGCTTCACAGCAGTGATAAAATAGTCCGTAGGGGAGATGCAATTAGCTGTGATTCCATGCAACAATGTACTGTGGGTGGAATGCCCACACTAAGATAGCTGCCAGATTTGATTGGACAATGTCCCAGGCTCATGCAATTTTTTTTTTCCCTATTGTTTGTTTTACCACTTTACCAGCATTGTCCATGTGGCCAAGTCAATAAAGCTAAATAAGTTTTTACAATACTACACAGCTACTCATACAGCCTAATTACAAACCGGTAATTGTAACCTCTTTACTTTATTCAATCTTTCTAAAAAAGGTGGTGTGTTCCGATTTTTCAAAACATTTTTTTTTACTGTGTCTATAGACTGGTTTTGAGTCTGGAAAGTGCTTTACATCTGAAAAAATCATTTAATTATTGATATATATACAATCTGCTGAAATGTACTCTAAGCACGTCTGTGGAATGCGTGCCTGGTAAAATGCAAAGTGTGGTTTTCATCTTACTATATAGGTATCAAGGCCAGTAAACTTCATATCGGGCCTCAAACTCTCAAATGGGCAAAAAGCATCTGAAATGATTTTAAAAAACACCCTTTTGCTGTAAAACAAAGGTAACCTGTAAAGAACCGAGAAATTTGCATCCTATATGTAGGGAGTCTTATGATCTATCCTAAATCTGCTATGCGTTGCTCGCTGTTAAAGATTGTTGATCAGTTGCTATTACAGCCTTGCCATGTTTAAAGGACAACTGTCGTGACATTTTCTCTTTTCATTTTGAAAAGTTCATTACATTTCATAGAAACTTAAAGGGACAATATAATGCCAGTGATATAAAAACATATTCCTGACACTATAGGTGTGAAAACACCATTTAGGTGGCCGGCCCCCCTTGGCCCCTGTAAAAGAGTTATTTTACTTACCTTTTTCCAGCGCCGCGCATGTCTCCTTGCTGCTGGCCTCGCCCACACTCCACCATCTATAGAAAGAGCATGCGCATCAAAGCACAGTGCTGTGCCAGTCAGCATCTCCTCTTAGAGATTGAATCAGTACATCTCTATGAGGATGTTCAGCACCTCCAGGAAGCACCTCTAGTGGCCGTCTGAGTGACTGCCACTAGAGATGTTACTAGACAACAATGTAAAGACTGCCTTTTCTCTGAAAAGGAGTTTCACATATAACAATCACAGCAGTGGGAAGGTTAGATGACCATCAGATTTGACTTGGAGGTATGATATCAGGATGGGTGAGCAGTCCTGAGGGGGCTTTGCCAGTGACACAATCACTTCACTGGTGACATCCATCTGAAAAAGTGGTGGGCATTCCTACTGAAGGTCCTGTCTGGCCGGCACTCAACCTGCACAAGAGCATCTAATGATGCACTTGCATTGTGCTGCCAAGGACAGTTCCTTGGTATCCCCAGATGCGGGACACCAGGGAACAAAATCGACTTGAATACAAGTTAGATTTTACTATATTTATTGAGGCATGTTTGTGTTCCTGACCCTATAGTGTTCCTTTAATGTCAAACTTGCTGATCTGAAACACTTGCTGATTTGAAGAATTTTTCCAATTCATATGTTTTGACATAAAAAGTGAGGTTAATGTTGAATACACTTGGAATTAACACTTTCCCAAATAAGCCTGTAGTTGCTTCATTGCAAACGCAGGCTATACACGTGACATGTCCTCACCTTCTAGAATGTCAAAAATCACTAGGATAAGATAGAAAGGGGGGCTGTGTTCTAAAAAGAGACATAGAAATAGGGAAGATTGTAAGGCTCTTTACTTTTTTGTGATTTTGATTCTGCCTTCCAAAATGGACCTGACACATTCCTGCTTCTTTGTGTCTTTGTCAAGGTTCACTGTGTTTGTCAAGTTTCACAAAACATTGCCTGATATTTTTGTGATGGTTGAAAAAAGCACTTACAAGCAACACTGTTGCTGTTTTTCCAATTTGTTTTTGTGTCTGAATACCACAGTCATTGAAAAGATAGGTGACTTTCAATTAGCAACAGAGGACATATATTAGAGTCTACTCACTGGGTCCTAAAGACGTACTTCCCCTTGAAAAAAGGGTCTCCTGAGAATGTCTCCAAGTTCTTTTTTAGTACTCTATTATATGTATATATATATCGAGGAAGTAACAGACAACATAGTTATGATGAAATTGACGTGGCCTTGCTAACTCCATGTTGACTTAAATAGGGTAGCTGCAAACTTAGCATATGGAAACATTGTGTCACAAACCCTCCTTGGTGAAGTCATGTCAGAGGAAACTAGGCTAGCAGCGTAGACATGTGTGAAGGGGCTTGGCGGAGGAAGTTGGGGGTGGCTTTCCAGGAAAACAGGCAGAGAAGGACACTCCCCACTTGTCAGTTATTCCCCACATGGAAGTAGTTTTTGCCAACACTCTTTCCTTTTTTTCTCAATGCAGATCTGTAGGATACTATTCGTGCAGTGATATCCCTGGATCTTTTTCTAACCCAAAAGTGGGAAATCTTCAAATCTCAGCTTCAGCACTGGAAAATACCTGGATGCCTACTTGTCAAACACGCATGGTCAAGAGAAGGAAAGCATTCTTCACCGAGTTACAGCTTGGCATGTCCGGTGGTTTTGGATAGCCAGCAGAAGACATCTGGGTCGCAAATACTCTTAAGAGAAGAATTTTCATATTTACTGATTTTTTTTTTAAAGGATTAAAGAAATGCCTAATTCTCCCGACCATCTACAATGTTGTTGGACATTGATAAAGATGACAAAAAGATTCTGAACGAAGGTTAAGAGTGCATTTTTGTATGGTTGTACATATGCATCCATCGGAACTGGAATGAACCGTTGATGTAATTTGATAAAAGACTGGTTATTTCAGCTCTAATGTGACTTCTTCCAATCCAGCCGGACACAGCAATATTAACAAAAGGCAACAGAATAATTGAGTAATATCCATTCTTAGAATACAGAGAAACTTGCATCACCTGTTGTTTTTCCATCTTTTCATTTGACGAATGCGACAAACATTCTTGTACAAACCAGGACTTAAATGGGCAAGGTGAGTCTTTGGTCATTAAGAACCAAGAATTGGATGTATTCATATTTAATCGTTCTCCAGGCTATTCAGTAAAGTTTGAATTGTTATTAATCTAGAACGAATTTCAAGATATTAGGCCTAAACTTTTTTAAGTCGGTCCATTATGTTCTAAAATGTAAAATGTACGCTGAATTCTCGCCGACTCTGCGTCATTCCATACTTTAGTGAATAAGCCTATCAGTGTAATTCACTAACCCAGTGATTGGCCAGTAAATTGCAATATTAATGCCAAAATAAACAAAAGGGGAATATTATCCCACTGAGCTTAGGTTAATTGGTCTAAAATATGCGGTTCCCAAGATATTCTTGTTTAGCAAATAACCCTGAATATTCAGATTTCAAAAAAAGCCTTTTCTGTATTTATAAAGTAGGGTCGGGTACGGCTAAAAAAACTTAGCTTTTTATGGATGACCTAGCTCACTAGCTAAGAATAAAGTTATTAATGAAGCTAATTATTTCCAGGGGCAGAAATGGCTTTTCAGCTATTTCCTGCCTTGAATCAGCAGTAACCCCAGAGATACCAGTTATACGGCAAGTTAGAGGGTCCTACTGGTAGACACTGCAATGTGTATATGCTGCACAGCCTCCCATCAGACCGCAGAGAATAGAAAACCAAGTACATTATGGAGTTTTTACCTAAGTCCTCAGGCATAATGAATAATGCAGGTATCACAGGACAGAACGAAGTGAGTGTAATTTTAAAAGACCTGCAAGTCAGCTATCAAGGGAGTGGGCAGGGCCAGCACGTGGGCACGCCCTCCACGCAGTTAGCGTCGCTAATGATACCTCTGCCCGCAAAGGGAGTTTGTCATCCAATGGTGACTTAGGAACACTGGAAAAAAACACATGAAGGGTTAACGCAAGCATCATGACCATTTCATTCATTTGAAGTGGTTGTGGTGCCTCGAGTAAGTATGAAACACTGCACATATGGAGTTTAAACCTTTTTGCTGCAGGAGGTGCAACTCCATCTCCGGCAGAGCCATTAGCCAGCCTGGAGCAAGAGTTTCGGGCTGGTTAATATCAATTCTGTGCAAATTGTCATACACAGGGTCCATTCACTGGCTGAAAGCGGTCAGCTAACGCTTTCAGCCATTTATGGTGACTGGATTGGCTTTTGCAGCTCTGCAGAGGCGTGCCACTAGAGAGGAAAGGAGCGTCTGAGTCTGGTGGGGACCCAGGTAAGAGGGCAAACTTTTGCTAAACTGTTTGCCCTGTCACCGGGGTAACCAAACTAGAGTACTACTCTAGCAGGCTAAAGTGCTTATAATGCTCGGAGTAAAAAGAGCCTTTGTTTTCTTGTGTGCAAATCATTCTGCAGTACTCTGCGCATGCATGGCTCTAGAAAGTAGGTTTTTGAACACAAGTGTATGCCAGGCTGACATATTTCCATCAAAATCCTTGGCCAGTTTACTTTTAGATTCCCCCCTCACCCTCTCTGTTGAAATGTATGTAGGTATCGTCTATGAGGTATGACAGAGGTACATGTGTAGCAAAGAATATTATTAGCAAAGAAATCATCTTTAATAGCCGTGGCTTTTTGGCTTTTTGCTGTTATAGTTTGGCCAGTTTTGTGAATGTATATAGTATTATATGCCAATGTATATACAAATGGATTCGATTGATTTATACTTTGCAGTGAGAGAGAATTAATTAGGATATAAACCACATGTTAATTATGTATCTTGTAACAGATTGTATTTGTCCATATTGCAGATGGAACTGATTTTTTTAATTTCTTTTTTTAGCTACAGCATTTTATTTACAGCATTTAAAGGGGCATCGTCATGTTAATATTAGTTTAACTTATACTATATTTAACAAACATTTATTTGCGAGGTGTTAAAAAATAAAATTAAATGTATAACGCAACACCCCTTTATACTAGATCTGGGCGCCTCCCAGATTGCCAAGCAGTATATCCTCATAGATATGCATGAGCCAAAGCATCTCTATGAGGAAGGTTCAGCGCCTCCATGCAGAGCGTGGAGATGCTAAACGTCAGTGCAGCACTGACCCAGGATGCACTTTTAGTGGCCATCTGAGTGACTGCCACTAGAGGTGATACTAGACAGTAATGTAAACAATGTCCTTTCTATGAAAAGGCAGTGTTTACTTAAAAAAGTCTTCAAGGACATACTATACATACCAGAAAACTACATTAAGCACGGTGCCTGTCATGCCCCAAATAACGTATGCTCATTAGATTGAGCATAGGATTTTATCTATACATTGTTCTTGCAGTTTTGCTAGCAAATGTATAGATTAGGAGAAAAATCTATTTATATAATGCATTGGCTGACAAGGGAGAGCAGAAAAGTCCTCCACCTCCTAGGAGGTCCCTCTGCTCTCCACCCATGCTTCCTAGAGGGTGCTTCTAGCTCAGGCTAGGGACTCTAGGAACGGAGTGACGTGGCATCACTCCGCTCTGATGTCGGCCAGCATGCCAATGTCACTTACAAGATATAAGCAAGGAAAATCAAAGAAGACTTTGGAAGGAGCCGAGGCAGAGTGAAGGACAGCCAGGAAGTAGGTGTTACACAAAGAGTAACACCTACAAACTGGCGCTGGAACGTAGGAAATGTAAGTAAATCTTTATATTTGACATTGAATACGCCATGTATCTTTATGATAAACGGTGTATTCCATGTATATTGGAGCAATTTCAGGTAAGTCATTTTTTTCTTAAAAGGTTCACTTTAAAATAAATCGAGGCCAATATTAGAACCACTTCGAAGCAAAGCACAACAATAGGTGGAGCAGGACAATATGACTAGTGGTCGGTCACGTGGTTTAAGAAAGATGCTTATAATTTAGGATCGATATTCCAAATATCCATGTTTGAAGGGGCACAGTAATTATGTATGACTGCTTGCTTTGACAGATGAGACATGCAGGCCATTTGACATATTGGATGCTGTTGCATCAATTATTTATTATTCACTTACACAGTCTTACCTCACATATGATTTTCCAACACCAATTCTTTGTTTTTCAATTATACCTTTTATGGAGTTCTCTGTTCTTCACTCTCCTACACTCTAGGGAGATGCCGTGAACTATCAAACAAATTCGTACAATGATTTCCCTTAACATTGAGATCTATTAAAACCAGCCCTGGAGGTTTCAGCTCTATTGGATTTGTTGCAAATTTGACCCTCACTGGTGTCCTCCCATGCTTTGCCACTGTTAAGGTAGACTGATGGAGAACCTCTGTAAATCCACAACATGGCTACGGGAAGAGCTGGACTCTTCATCTCAAAACATTCGCGTTCTGGACTGTCGAAGTAGGGAGCTCTATGACTCTTCACACGTGGAGAAAGCTTTGCACGTGGCCCTACCTGGATTAATGCTACGAAGGTTGCGTAAGGGGAACTTCTCTGCCCATTCGCTTCTTCCCGGATCTCCTCCAGCTGTAAGAGAAGTGGCTATTCTCTATGACGAGTGCACCGCCAGCCTTTCGGGGTGCCTGGGAAGTCAAGGAGAGGATCAGGAGCCAATTCTTGTTACTTTGTTGCATAAGTTAAGGAAAGAAGGATGCCAAGCCTACTATCTACAGGGTAAGACATTTTATCAATAGAAAATTCTAATGTCACATTTTTTTCAGTTAAGTATTTGGCTTACTAAGGCTTTTTACTATGATACCATCCAATGAAAGTCAAGGTAGGGGTATAAATTCACTTTTAGAACCTCAGTGGCTAGGTGTTAATAACCCTAAGTAATAGGGATTGATTGCCGGAAACCAGTGCCAATATTCTGTACATTTAAAGTTTTGAAAATTCAACACATTTTGTACACAAATCTGGCATTAATTGAACATGCTAACAGCAATCACATTCCTTTCACTTTCAGGCAGCCAGTATATGCTGGGATCAGTGAGATCCCAGCATGCATAGTGCTGTTACTGATAGCAGTGTGATTGCTGATAGCAATCACACTCCTGTCACTCTGTCAGCCAGTCCGGTACATTACAGTAGATTATTCACTACCGCATCTCCCTGCCTTCATTTGAGCTCCGCATGCAGGGGTTTACAGGGAGGGGTGACATGAGGTCACAACATGGCGCTTCACTAATTGAAAACTGGCGTTTCTGGATTCTGAAGATGGTGTGCAGTGACAGGGAAAGAAGAGAAAGTTTTCTGTAAATTCGAAGACCGATACCGATTATCGGTGGCTGGTTGCACCCCTCCAGCACACGTGTCTTGGGCATCCTGGAAATCTGCTACCTAATGTCAATTCTGAGCACAATACATGTCTTTCGTCTTCGTCTACAGAAAGCTGGTGACGAGCGTAAAGATCTCTCCCTTGCAGGGAAGGAAGATAAAGCCTCACCTTGCAGGCAGAAACTTTATCTTCCTTCCCTGCCCCCCTCCAAGCTTCCTGCATTGAGATGATGGTATGCACTGGCATACATACCGCAGCCGCAGGGTTGCAGCTGCTACTCCAGGGTGCCCGGCCGCCCTACGGACCCCTGCGACCGGGTACCCACGCCATGTTTTGCGGCCCTGGCCAGTATGGCAAACCGCCAGGGCTGCACATGAAGGGGCCCATCGGGTGGCCCATGCTGTTAGGCCCCCTGTGATGATGTCAGACAGAACTGGGAGGAAGTGACTGCCCTGGTCACTCCTCCCAGCTATCAGAGAGCCGCGCGGGAGGAATCAGAAGGAAGTCAGAGTGGGAACTCTGTCTCCCATCAGACTGAGCCCCACGGGACCCCAGGGAAAGTCACCCTCCTTCAAAAGGTAGGAAACAGGAGGGTGACTTAAACATTTTGTATATGTGTGTGTTTGTATGTATGTGTCTGTGTGTCTGTCACTGTATGTATGTGTCTGTATGTGTGTGTGCATGTCTGTATGTATGTCTGTGTGTATGTGTGTGTCTGTATGTGTATGTGTGTGTCTCTGTATGTATGTGTGGGTCTCTGTATGTATGTGTCTGTATCATACCGACATACATACAGAGACACACATACATACAGAGCCACATACACACACAGACACATACATACAGACACACACACACACATACAGACTGTATGTATGTGTGTGTGTGTGTCTGTATGTGTGTGTCTGTGTTTATGTGTCTGTGTATGTATGTGTGTGTGTGTCTGTATCTGTCTGTCTGTCTATATATGTGTGTGTATGTGTCTCTGTATGTGTGTGTCTGTATGTATGTCTGTGTCTGTATGTATGTGTCGGGGGGGGAGGGGCACGGATCGGGGGGGGGGGAGCACGGATCAGTTTCGCACCGGGGCCCCATGCATTGTGTGTACGCCACTGATAGTATGTATATATTTTTTAACTCCCTTCTCTCATTCTATACCCTGCCCACCCTCTCCTCCCTGGCTCAGAACGCTCTGAGCCGGTGAAACGGTCCGATCAGTCCAATTGATCAGACCATAAATGGGCATCCTGATGTCAGACAGAGGTGTAAAAGGCAGCTGTGGGAGCTTCTCCGACAATAGATTCCAGGTAAGTATTTTTATTTGCAGGTTTGTAAAGGGGGGCCTAGTAAATAATGCCCAGCAGGGCATCAGTGTTAATTTTGTTGACTGACCATTTTTGTCAAATTTTAGTCAACTAAAATTTTTTAGATTTAGTTGACTAAAACTAGACTAAAACTAAACAATTCAGATGACTAAAATACAACTAAAACTAAAATGGCTTTTTAGTCAAAAGACTATGACGAAAACTAAATTGAAATTTGCAGCTAAAATTAACACTGCGCAGAGGGGCTGTGGAAGGGGCAAAAAAAACAGAACAGGGCTTAGGAGAAAGACACCTAGAGGGCCTGGAGGACACAAAGAGACACAGAGGGGTGGTGGAAGAGGCAAACAAGACAAATAGAGGCTTTAACTAAACCCATTATATTTTAGTTGTGTCGACTAAAATCTACTGCAGATTTAGTTGACTAAAACTAAAAGAATTCAGATGACTAAAATACGACTAAAACTAAAATGGCTTTCTAGTCAAAAGACTATGACTAAAGCTAAATTGAAATCTGCTGTCAAAATTAACACTGCAGGGCATTCTAACCCCTATACCACAATTTTATTTTTTTTAAAGGGTTAAAGTAATGCTTTAATTAAAAAAAAAAAAAAATGCTAATATTTTGATAGCTAATGTTCAGAAATATCTGGAATTAAAATTTTTTATACCTTGAATCCATTCCAACTATTTTATATATATATAGTATTTGTTTTTTCTACAGGTGGCTTCAGCAAGTTTCAGGCTGAATTTCCTCACCACTGTGAAACCAACTTGGATTCTACCAGCTGTGCTAGCAGTTCTCCTCTTCCTCCAACCCCCGTACTAGGACTAGGTGGTCTCTGCATTGCTTCGGATTGTTCGGACGTTGAGTCGGATCTCGACAGGGAGCCTCTAAGTGGTGTGGATTCCGAAGGAATGAGTCCGCGCAACCAGCCCTCATCATTTCCAGTACAAATCCTGCCATACCTTTATCTGGGCAGTGCAAGGGATTCTGGGAATATGGACACTTTAGCTAAACTCGGCATCCGTTACATCCTCAATGTCACCCCGAACCTGCCCAATATTTTTGAGAAAGAAGGAGAGTTCCACTATAAGCAGATCCCTATATCTGACCATTGGAGTCAAAACTTGTCGCAATTTTTCCCTGAAGCTATTGAGTTTATTGGTGAGTACAAGGTTACTAGAACTCTTTTTATTGATTATGTCCTTAATGTGGAAATATATAGTTGAATTTTTGCTAGACATTTCCAGGATGATCTATATTTTATCTATTAATATTTACACCACCCCCTTATGCTCAAACACTCTATGAGATACTAAGCAAAAATGTTCTCCGATTATATTGCTAATTTCTATCTTTTTTATTTAATTCACTGAAATCACTATCCACCATGTCAATTTTCGAAGTCTATATGTTTTACATGAAGTAAAGAATATAAAGATCTTACAGAGTGGTTACATTTATGTTTGATAAACCATTGCTGAACCTATTTCATCATAATTTGAAACCACAGAAAATTGGCAGCATAGATTAGATCGTAAAAATGTCTAATGGGTATATTTCCGTGCACTTTACGGACATGTTTGTGCGAGAGCTTGCCTTTGAGGATGACCTTCAGTCTGGCTTCTTATTGCCTCCCGGATAAAGTTACAATAATGACTGTCCCTCCTCCTCTTTTGAGGCACTTACTGCCTTTGTCTGGAGATCTATTTATACCTCTGTGGTGTTAGTGGGATTGTTATTTTAAGAGAATATGAAGCACGTTGGGTTTTGAGGAACAGCCTTCAAGTGGACTTGGGGAAAAATGATCATAGCGATACTGTGTTAGATGACACAAGACGATTTGACTTTTATCTCTCTATCACTCGTTTAATAATAGAGAAAATATACAAAAATATTTAAAGTCAATAGACTCAGAGCAGTTGGCAAATATTCCTTAGCTAATGCATGTACAATCCTGTATGTATTTTTTTCTCAGTAAACATATTTTGAGCCTAAATGTTGACATTTCCCATCAATTTTAATAGTTTAATAATACACTTATGCTTGGTGGGAAAAGAGACGTAGAGCCACTTAGGTTAGGTAACGTGGCCTACGCTTACTGTAGAACTAAATTTGTCAGCCAATTGAGGGATATTCTAAATTCCAGAATTATAAAGAACCCGTTAATTGATTCTAAAGAGTTACTAAACTAAAGGAGCTTCAATGACTAGATCTGGACTCACGGGCATGGACCTTTTTACCTATTGTACGTTCTCCCCTTATTGTACAACGCTGCAGAATATTTTGGCATTTTATAAATGCCGGTACTTAATAAATAAAATACATGTTTATCATTTAGATCCAATGGGTTATCTTCAAAGAAACTGTTAGTAAGAAAATGTTACATGTTTACCTAGCAGAATAATTATAGCATTCATATGTTTGATGTAAAGCTAGGATTATTTCCGATTTTTATAATAACCATGGCTGTTCCTATTTCTTCTTCAGATGAGGCGGCCTCTCATAACTGCGGGGTACTTGTCCATTGCTTGGCTGGCATTAGCCGATCTGTCACGGTTACCGTTGCCTACCTCATGCAGAAGCTAAACTTGTCCTTAAATGATGCCTACGACTTTGTGAAGCGTAAAAAGACCAACATCTCTCCCAATTTCAACTTCATGGGTCAGTTGCTGGACTTCGAGAAAAGTCTGGGTCTCAGTAGCCCGGATGACAATCGGCCTCCTAGCCACTCCTTCTTCACCAGCCCTTCCAGTGATGATGTCTTTGAGCTGGACTCTTTGGACTCCACGTAGGACAATGGAGATATATTTCATGTTATAACTGATTCATTTTGGATATTCCCTTCATTCCAATCTCGGTTTAAACCACTCGGATAATGGGAATCATCGAGTCAGCAGTGTTAAACGGAAACTGCCGGCACTCCCGCTGCAGATTGTATTCAACTAATGGTATCTGCGCGGTCACTTTTGGGGTCTCCGAGCCTACATTTCAGTGACTGAAATAAGCAGAACCTGCAAAGTATTTTCAAAATAATTTTGGATGGACATTAAACTGGCATAAAATGCTGTATACCCATAATATGGGCAAGTACACATAACTCATTGCCTACTACAACTATTGGATATGGATGATGTTGGTCTGTTCTTCAAGGAATACAGAACATTATCCTTTCTTTAGAATGTGGAATTACACACAATTTTCTTGCACCAAAGCATTCAAACCGAAAGTTGACCTTACAAACAAAAAAAAGTCTAATTTTTATTATGTTGCACAGGAACAGTGAGCTTTGCTAAGGTTAAAATGCAGTCAGTTTGCTATTACAACATCGTTCTCCCTTACAGCATTAAATGGGTTAGTATCTGATTCATTGTAATTGTATTTTTGCGGAATTGCATAACAGAGGCAGCAGATGCTCTAAACGAAGTATTCTCTGTTGAGAATACACAATTTAAACCAGGAAAGCACCATGTTTCTATGAAACGGATCACGACAACGACTGACTCACTTGTTTTGTTTGAGTGGAGGCCAGAAGATTAAAAATGAAAGTGGCTGTAGAAAGGAAGAATTCAGCTAAATCGAGTACATTTACTGGAACCAGCCTCCATGCACAGGGTGATTCAGACCAGCCCAGGCACGATAAGAATACACAAAGCCATGCGTTCCACTTCTGAAATTTGTACAGTGTTTCTATTATGATATTTTTACTAGCTCGTCATTCAAACTTTGAATCTCACAAAACAACTCTGTGGCCGTCGCCATTGGGCAATTTTCTTTTTTAATAATGCCACTCTTTCTCAGGCCCAGGGGCAATAACAAGTAAAAAAAAAAAAAAAAATACAACTCAAAACTCAGGATTTCATTTGGCATCTAAAGATCCTTCTCTTTCACAGCCAGTGTTCTTGTAGCCAAATATATTTTGCACGGGGACAGAGCACTTGGTTTTATCTCTTCTGTAGTGGGAGGCAAGGTTTGTTATGTTCTAGAGTGAGCGACACCCTTAAGGTAGAAGGTTTCATGCCATTATTAGATACAGGGCCTCTTTTTACCTTTGAAAGCTGACACTACCATACTGAGCTGTTAGTTTAAGTATCGTGTCTAGAAAGTAGCTCTGTTGGCGTCCTTGAAGTTACAAGTCAATGTTTAACAACAGCCAAAGAGCCACCGGTTGGCCAAGTCCGCACGCAAAGCTACAGATAAAATGGATTAGTATTTATTTAGACAGGAATTCATATCCGAAGCAGTTGACCAAATAGGCAAGTACTTCTTTTCCTAAAATGCCTTAAAGCAGTTGTGAAGTATCCCCGTGATATGCTACTAAGATTTCATTCCTGTCTTCAAAACTATTTTAGTAAATACTTATGAGGGTGGAGAAAAATGTAAATGATGTAATTTGTCAGAGCGAAATGTTTTAGGTAATGACTGAAGATGTTACTTTAGTCTAAAGTTGGTACCTAAATTATAAAACCAGGCGTCTTAGTCAAATGCTAAGATCTATGGTTTACTGAAACACTTTGCCGTGTGGTGTAGTATTGGACGACAGCAGCCCTGTATAAATACAGCTCTATAGATACATGAGAGCAGATGTGTTCCCTTTTTCTGGTGACCTCGTATTTCTTAAATAGGAGGCCACAACCGTAAGAAATGTGGCAGGATGAACAATAACTGGTGCAAGTTTAAGGGGTTGGATGTATGGTGGGGATAGGCAGTAAGCATGCAGCAGTTCACCATTCTTCTATGCCTGCAGGTAAAAACGAACAATTTCTCATGGATTCCCAATAAATATCCCCCAAACATATTATTTAATGTGTATGGGTTATATCAATCCAGATGTCTAGTATATACGGCATATGTAAAACAGGGTTTGCACATTTATTAACCCATGGCGTATGTTTATAAGGATTTCTAAAATTTAGCACTGTTCAGTGCCCTTTATTGAGATAAATAAATGTTAAAAAAATATCACTATACCTTTAATGTTAAATGTAAAAAACAAACAAAAAAAAACCAACATTATTACACATGTAATAATGGCAGGAAATATTTCTAATTCCAAGTTGGTCAGCCGGAGAGGTGCTAGGGGGTGCAGTGAAGACAACTAAGCTGGCTAATAGACAATACAAACAAACACAATTAAGCCCTGCACTCAAAAACCCACTGCCCCTGGGCGGCAGCAATGACTATAGTTCACATAAGTCCCAATACATACAATGAAAACCCAAAAAATATATACTTGCGCGCTATCCCAAATACCTATGAATATTTAAAAAAAACTGGAGGTTTATTGTATTCAGAATAAAATGTTTATTGATAGTAAGCTGGCTTTCACCAACATTAAGATATTTTTGGCCCTTGTGTCTCAGCAGAATTTAAACATCTTGTGGCTCTGCAGTTAGCAAGGTATTGCATATTAGTAACTATGGAGGACGTTTGACAGTCGTCGGACAGATTAAAGAGACTCTGTTACCCAAATAGTGTTTAGACTTTGTAAAAACAAATTCATAGTGATATTAGAATTATCAGTATAGTCTACAAATTAAGAAGAAAAGCAGTGTTTACTTGGCTGTCACTTTTTGTCATCACCGTCTGTATACTATGCAAATTTACATTTTATTTTGTAAAGTATATTTTTCGTGTATAGTTGTACTTGAGACTTTGCAGCTTGCATTACCCCCCAACTGTGAGGCTACATCTGCTTATCACAGCTACATCCCACACGTTAGCAGCACTGTCAGTCATCCTAGTGCAAATGCGTTCCAGACCTGTCTAATTGAGTGGGGCGTTTCTTGTTATCGTCCCAGTCATATAATGTTCCTGCCCAGTTTCATCCCAATTACATACCTCCCACCCTCTATGCATTATAATAGAGGTAAATTGCAATGAGATAGGAGGACCCTGTCCAGTGTAGCTTTTAGTCTGATTATTTATTTTCATATAACGTTCCCGAAATTAATCAAAGTGGGATTTTTTTTTTTAATGTATTATGCACTTACTTGCTTTGCTGCTAAAATGGTATATATACCTCTCTCAGACTAGTAACTAAATCCACTTACTTACAGAACTGCAGTTACTAGATTAGTAATCACGGACAATTAACAAGGGAATTGAAACATGTGGACAAATTAAATGAGCCGCAAATAGCTGAATTAGAAAATGCTTCCAATTTTGTTATGTTGGCTAATAATTTTAGATTGCGTGGCCCATTCTCTGCTGTTCAAGGTTTAGTTAATGAACTTTTGTGGAAGGGACATATCACCCTTATACAGCGAATATACAGTTTGTAGAACGTGAAGACATTGGACATTATGTACTGTTCGTTTCCAAAAGCTTAAATTTAACTTCCTTAAATGATTCATTAATCCCACCAAAAAATAAAAACACGACTGCTAATGTCAAGCTTGACATTCAACTCTTGCCACAACTTTGTCATCCAGCAGTGGTGTGGAAAAAATCAGTGTTTACATCACAGTCTAGTAATAACTCCACTGGCTACTCCTCAGATGGCTGCTAGAGAGAGACTCCTGGGGCAGTGCTGCACACTATGCAGTACAGACATTCAGTGTCTCCACCCTCTGTATGCAGACACAGAACTCTGCATTGATCTAATTAATGTCTAATTAATGAGGAGATGCTGATTGGTCAGGGCTGTGTTTGACTTGTGCTGGCTCTGCCTCTGATCTGCTTCCTTGACAGTCTCAGTCAATCCTATGGGCAAGTATTGTGATTAGCTAAAACCACCACTTCTGATGATATCAGCAGGCAGCTCAGGAGCAGAGGCAGCAGCTGCAGACTTGAATACAATTAAGATTTTACTTTAGGGAGGCAAGGGCGGGCTAGATGGTGGTTTTAACACTATAGGGTCAGCAATACATGTTTGTGTTTCTGACTGTAAAATGTTCCTTTAAGGTATATATCTAATTTAATCTACATATTTTCTGGTGATTTTACCAGTAACATTTATAGATTATATCTATATCAACCTGAAGACGAGCCACACATTCTGATGACAAGTTCACTTTAAAATAAAGGCTTAGAGTTACTTTAATTAAATAGAGTTATTATAATTTGGGTGTCATTATGTTTGACAAAAATCTGTTTATTTGGCCTAAATAATGCAAATGTGCGATCAGTTTACCCAAATTCTTTGTTTAGTGTTTATACCTCCCAGAGCACTTACTTCAATAATAAGAAATAAATAAAGCCTAACATTGCATTCATACAGTGTTATTTGCTAAACCAGGAATTGTCTGGAAAAGCTGTTTGTTTGTTTTTTTACAATTCTGTGGTTTAGAATTTTGAAGCTGCAGTTTCCTAGTCAATACATAGTTTACTGACTAACCATGACTTTGTTTGTCTTTGTAGGGTTAAAAAGTAACCTCACAATTTAGGAACTGTTTAAGAAAAGCATTAACATTCATTAAGCCGAGGTGGCTAGTAAGTGCCCTTTACGAAGGGATTAAAGGGAAACTATAGCTAGGGTTACCATATCCAGCATGTTTTCAGAGACACATCACGTATACATATTGATTGGCAGCACATGAAAAGGGTTGCCCTGTACTATGTAGAATTCAAAAGAAGGTGTATATGATTAATAATGAAGAATCCTGCAGAATATGCATTATACATATTTCTGGGCAACCCTGTCAAAGCACTTTCATAAATATAACAAAATATATTTGGCCCTGAAAACATGGTGGATATCGTAACTCTAGCTATGGGCACCCAGACTCCGTCATCTCTGGGTGCAGAGTCCCTGTCCTCTTTAGAGAAACTGCAATGTTTCAGTTGCATGGTTAAAGGGACATTCCACTGCCCAAATTTAAATAAACAAGTAAAATCACTGTGTAGTACTTATTCCTCAAATAAAAACTTGCATGCATTTAATTATAATTTTTTTTCATTGGGGGTATTTAAAAACAGATTGCAAAACCTTCAGATCTCTTGCCTGCTGCCTTTGAAAACCCTCCACTTCTACGTCTGCCAAGACATTCTGTGACTGTCAAATCACAGACTTTCCAATGCAGCTCAATGAGAAGTCTTTGCAAGGCAGGTGCTCTGAGTAATTCCCAGCCTCTTGAGACTAGCTGAATTCAGATAACCAAACCAGGAAGTAACAGGATTGGTTTTATGATTGACAACCAAGGGGGTGTAACAAGATTAATTTATAAAAGTGTCAATTTCTATCAAAATATGCACTTTGTAAAATGGAAAAACTCTGCACAAATAAAGCCTTTCAGCAACCTAAAGTACTTTGAAGGTCTGGAGTGTCCCATTAAGACTTCCGCTAGTGGTAGAGTAATTCCTGGCTTTTCATTGAGGCAAAAGGATACTATAGTGTTGGGAATACAGCTTTGTGTCCTAACACTATAATGTTCTTTTAATCTAATGTCCAGGTGGTAGAATTAAATCCACTCCATAGTCAATGTATCTTTGCCAAAAGAATTGAGGAATGCATTCAGAACGTGTAACTTCCACTAGACTTGTGTACAAATCCTTTTCACCTGTGACAAGCGAATCAAATTCCTGTTAATCTATGCCCGAACGAATAGATCTGTCACGTAAATCCCGTGTCATTCGGCATAGATTAGTTTGTTGCAGGTCACAAGATTTGTGCACAAGTCTAATTTCTGTAGTTTTATTGTCTGTTCTCTAAATGGTGAAGATTGGTTTAGTTTACAAATAACTTAGGTTAGTTGATAAAAACAAATTAAGCCAAAATAGTTGAATTGTAAGAACAAAAGTTGGGGAATGTGTCTAAATTTGCTAGTTTGGTCTGACGTTAATTTTAACTCAATACAACTTTACGGACAAATTGGCTACCTGCTTTACGACTTTAGCGTCAATCATTCCCTATCTCTCTATCTAGGTGCTCACAAGGCTTAAAACCCAGCCAACCCCCAAAATTATTTTTTGTTAAGGGGGCAAGCCCCGTGTTGCCAGGCATAGGGCAAATCTATTTGGGTGAACTATGTATTGCTTGATTTATTAAATAGCTAACTGTTAAAAGGAGGCAATGGTATGTCAGCCAGACTAATTGTTTCCTATGAATTCCCCAGCACAGAAAAACCCGGATTCAAGGGGGACAGCTGAATTATTGTTCCTTTTGCTGCTATATTTTAATTTTTTTTTTTAAAGGAAAAACCAAAAATCGTTTCCTGAATTATTTTATTTTTTATTTTTTTTGCAGTATACATCGGAATCAGCAGCAGAAAGCTGCTTTCAATGGCATTTTTAACGCAACACCTGTTATCCCGAAATTTCACACTGACATTTGTCAGGTCAGGAAATGCGTCAGTTGGCTCTATTACCTTGTTAAAATATTTAATTAACGAGGGAAAATTTAGGAGCAACGCAGTATTCAATATGCAAGTTGGGGGGTGTTATTGCCTTTTTAATTAAATGACCTGTATATTCATTATTTGTTGTATGATTTTTAAACAGAATAAAATGCACCTTTTTATATTCACAATGTGCTTTATTCTAGCAAGGAATGCATCATTTATTTTCACTTTTTCAAACAATCAGCTCATTGGCACCAACCATGGAGACTTAATTTACCAGATTATCCAGAGTTTATTGCTTAAGGCACAAGGTATTAGTATCTCAGAAAGTGAGAAATATAGTAACATGAAATGTGACGGCAGATAAGAACCATTCGGCCCATCTAGTCTGCCCAATTTTCTAAATACTTTCATTAGTCCCTGGCCTTATCTTATAGCTAGGATAGCCTTATGCCACTTCAGCTGGAAGGCTATTCCATGCATCCACTACCCTCTCAGTAAAGTAATACTTCCTGATATTATTTTTAAACCTTTGACCCTCTAATTTAAGACTATGTCCTTTTGTTGTGGTAGTTTTTCTTCTTTTAAATATAGTCTCCTCCTTTACTGTGCTGATTCCCTTTATGTATTTAAATGTTTCTATCATATCCCCCCTGTCTCGTCTTTCCTCCAAGCTATACATGTTAAGATCCTTTAACCTTTCCTGGTAAGTTTTATCCTGCAATCCATGAACCAGTCTAGTAGCCCTTCTCTGAACTCTCTCCAAAGTATCAATATCCTTCTGAAAATACGGTCTCCAGTACTGTGTACAGTACTCCAAGTGAGGTCTCACCAGTGTTCTGTACAATGGCATGAGCACTTCCCTCTTTCTACTGCTAATATTTCAAAGAAAGAAAATAAACACAACATAAACATACAAATCTACAGATAAAAATCAATAAAATACACAGAGTAGTAATGTATATACAACAATGTGTAATACTATGTATTACATTCTCAAAGGTATAATTGATTGCAGGTACATCTCCCAATACATGGTTAAAAGCTGTATTTGTCTTTTCGTTCAGTCAAGTCAATCATACATGTAGGGAAATAAGAACAAGGAAACATAGTGCAGATGTCCAAAAAAAACAAAAAAACATACATTGAAGAGGTCTGCACTGTTTCCTTGTTCATCTAATTTCTCCCTTAGGGATCTTACCAGCTCATGTTCAACAGGATAGATCTATAATGTGTCTTTTTTTGTGTTTATCATTTTATTAACATGGTTTTAGCATTATAAAAAAATCAAGATGGTAAATGTCTAGAATGTTCCTTTAAGGAAACAAAAATCTGAGATGTGACATATTCACTTGAGCCTTTTTTAAAGGCTAGAGGATTTCTAATACATAGCTCCAACCCATCCTTCACAGCAAAGGTTTAATTGTGTCAACGTTGAACAGAGACATCAGCAGCTGCACAGAAGATATTGTGAATGAACACATTATGATAGCATAAACGCCACATGGCTATCACAGCATAATCTATCACGAGACTGTTTCACACTGACATCCAGATACAAATTCTTGGTACCATTTCAGTGCCAAATAAAGGAAGCAATGAACGGGAGAAAATTCTTAATGGATGGAAAGAGATTAATTAAAAAAGTAGCATAACAAACGTACGTTTTTACAACAGTAACGTTTGTTTCTTTCCCTTTCATTCGTGTTCTTTTTGGTCGTTTGCATTAGTGCTATTGTTGTTGTTGTTTTTTTTTTGTTGTTATTTTTCTCTTGGGCAGGTTCCAAACTGTTACAAAATGCAAGCTATTAATCTTCATGTCAACGAGGATGGCGCGTAGCTCGATTGCTCTTGCTTCAGTGGTTTCTCGTGATTATCACGTTTCTGTAGAAAAAGGAAAAAGAATTTTGCACCTGAAAATAAATGTGTGTTTACGGAGAACAGAGCTGTCATAAAACACTGCTTGGGTAATCACAAGATCAAGTCCATCTTGTCAGGTATTGCTCTGAGCACATGACGATTTCCTCAACAAGTTGTGCCATTAAGGAAGATAATTGATTTAAGGGGACTCAGAACTGCGTTAAGCATAGAGTACCATTTCAGTCACACACAAACCATTTTTGTCATCTACATCTTGTGCTACTCAGAGGGCTAGTACAATGTACAAATGTATTTAGAATTTACGATATGTATCAACATATATGTGTATATTATACTTGTGCACTGCGGAATCATTCAGTTTGGCCCAATCACTTAATCCGAAAAGAATACTTTGTTTGTTTAGTCCGATACTGGTTCATATGGTGTTTAGGCTTGTCTAAATATCGTCCATGTAAAAAATATTTGGGAAAACATTCAGAGGAGCCTCAGTGTACTGCAAAATTTATACATAATATAATATTTATGTGTATATTTTACATTACATGGAAAAAAAAAAATCAACTGAAAAAATAATAACCAAGAAAATAAGAAGCGAATCATAAAAAAAAAAAAAAAAAAAATTTAAGTGGTTGAATTCAAGAAATTACAATCTGAGCTGAGTATCTTAATGTATTATACTTTAGCCAAATCTTCACCGGGCAAGTGAAAGATTTTGACTTTTTTAAGGAAAGTTCAATAGAAAAGTTATTAAAATATACTTCACGACCTCATTATTTTGCATTTAAAATTATCCAAGTCAACTTTGCTATCAGTTCAGCGATTTTGTCCTTAAATTTGAAAATCACTTTGGATTTCCAACAATTGCCACTTTGTTGAATAACTCCATAGCAGCCCACTTACAGCATGGGAAACATATTGTGCCCATATGGTAATTCTAAATCTGTCGATATATTCCTGCGTGGATGTTATTTTGTACAGATCTGTGTTTTGTTCATATCGTTGTGTTTTTACAGCAAAAGAGAAGGAAGGTGCAGTTTGCGGAGTGGTGGCTTGGCTGTGTGACCTCATACTTCTGTATTTATGGATAGAAACACAAAAATCAGACAGCAGCTCATAAGCGTGCTGAGTCGATCTGGCTCTAGGCTTCCGTTCCCACAGACTCCTTTCCCCTCAGCTCACAGCAGTATCCTGCAAGATGCTTCCGGGGCAGGCTTTCCTGCACATGAAGGGGAAGTAAGATTTCCTCATTCTGCACTGATAAGCAAGTGGAAGGTACAGGGTGCTGACATATTAACCCATTCGTGGAGAGAGGAAAAGGCAAAATCATTCCACCTCTCTGTTGTCACTGTATCCTAATGCAGGCTCACCAGATCAAAGCAGATACAAAGTATCGACACCTATACCCTCAATGTAGGGTTCAAAAATGTTAGTCTAGTTATAGGAGACAGCTTAAAGGCACACGGTAGGCACCCAGATCACTTCAGCTCATTGAAGTGGTCTGGGTGCTGTGTCCCTTTTGCACCTAGTGCTGCAAAGTTAAACACATGTTTACATTGTAGCACTGAGTCTGCCCACAGTGGTTGTCTGCCAGTTACAAACCGTAACTGACCTTTGGTCTGGTATCTGACGCTTGACGTCCTCACATTCTGAATGAGGACATCCAGCCTCCGATTTTTCCCCATAGGAAAGCATACACATTAGCACCCGCTCATTGCGGGCCATCGGAGGAGGCGAAACCAGGATGCAGCGCCGAAGGGACATCTGCGCTGGGAAGAGTTGAGTAAATAATAGGTTTTTTAACTCTTTGTACATCAGGGGGGGGATAGAAAGGGGGAGAGCGATAGTGCCAGGAATACAGCTTTGTATTCCTGGCACTATAGTATCCCTTTAATAATTTATAAGCCAGGTAGTATATTGGATATGGCACCAAAACTATCTCCCTCATGCTAATTATACGCATAAAACACACCGATTTCATGGCATTTACATCCCACGCAGCTATCACTCTCAGACAGACACTACATCTAGCACCTATCGCTTAACCTGCCGGTATAGACAATGACATCACAGCACCCACATAGTACTTATCACGGCTGGAATTTTGAAATCCTACACGACTGGATTTCTACTTGCCATAGCTGAATTTTCACTCGCCTAGTAGATAATGGGCGAGTGGACATTTTGAATTCTACTATATCACATGCAGCATACACAAGTCTATCATAGCTCACCCATGTGAAAAGCCTATCACGTGCACCACTCACAGGATGACCCTACAAATGACAGAATCCTCGTAACAACCTCATTACATACATAATTCTACAACAATAATATACATACTATGTTTAATCCATAAATGGAGGAATACAGTAAACATTTGCTCTCCACATTTCCCTACCAGAATTTTTATGAAATACTCATAATGACAGTCAAGAGATATACAGAGACAGAGTAGGGACACCTGACATCAGAACGCGTGTGATGTAAACATGATGATGCATGCCTGTCCGCGTCATTTTCCAAATTAGGATCCACTGTCCCTTTAAATATTCCCAGCTCACAGTGGCCATCATTATACATCATGCCGGTTGCGAGCGCTACAAAGGGAGGGCGAGAAGGCATTGGCGTTCCAGATCGCCACTCGGATACGTGTCGAAGTTAAGCAGTACCCGCGGACGACATGACAGCTACTGAGTCAGTCTCTGCAGCCATCATCAAGGAATTGGATGTGTATATATAGGAGTCCCCATTAACCTAAATGCTGTATTCTCACTCATGTAAACCCCCCCCCCCCGCCGACTCTTGATAACCAGTCAGGGGACTTTGTGAATTCGGCAAAGTTCCCAAATGGTGACAGTGCTGCCTTAAAATGATGTAATAAATCTGTTGGGTTTTTGTTTTATTTTTGTAGTTTTCTGTCAATAATTATTTTACTACTAATTTGACTTTACTCTTACAAACAACAAGAATTATTTTTGTTAATGTTCAATTGTCTCTGTCTGAGTCATTTTGGTCTCTAGAAAACTCTCCATTAATATGAAAATGGAGGTCAAAGTATGGGCAGCATTTATGTAATATAACTTAAACTATAATATATTCCCTAGAAAAATGAAAAAAAATAAAGCTTTGATGAATGTTCATTTTTTTTCAGTAATAAAACAGTGTAACTGTATATGGCAATTCTGGGAAAAGTAGTATAACTTTAAGGTAGTAACTGGCATCCCTCTAATGACTGCAATAGGGATAGATTATGTGCCACAGCCATCATACAGAATATGTTATCAAAGCATTCCGTGTACACTCTCACCAGACAGTCCGTTCGTTAGGGATGTAAATGTATCCAGCAATGAGTGACACAGAGCTTAAAGGGACACACACCTTAACCTCCATTCTTAATGTACTCTACAAATTATGAATTAAAGAATGTTTTATTAAAAATTAAATATAAAGGATAGTCACTTCTGAATTTCACTTTTTCCTGTCGATCTGCCAGACTTGGCCTTGGCCATTATTTTTAGTGGAAGCAATAATTATATCCCATAACCTCCTGCAATGTATTCAGTTAGTCACAGAGAGCTTCATTAAATACAGTATATGTGAAAGACGCCACAAAGCAAGCAATTTGCTTCTGAATAGCACCCACACTATGCGTTCTCTCACAGAAATCTATTTGTGAGGAAAAGATGGCACATGACCAGGTATGACCCGGCATGGGGGGTGGGATTATAGCTCTATGGATTTTTGCAAATTGCTGCATCTGAAATTAATTTGCATGCAGGGAGACAGAGAGAATTCATCTACTAAACACATTTTAAAGATGTACACGTCAATAAATATTTAGACACTAAGAGTTGCCATAACAAAGTATGGCTAGAGAGTATACCTAAGAGTCAGATGATGAGACTTAGAAGAAACTGCTCAGAGACTCCTATTTTAAAAAACAAGCAAATGATTTGAAAAAAGATTCACACAAAAAGGATATGGAGTTAAAGGACCACTATAGTGCCAGGAAAACATACTCATTTTCCTGGCACTATAGTGCCCTGAGGGTGCCCCCACCCTCAGGGACCCCCTCCCGCCCGGCTCTGGAAAGGGGAAAGGGGTTTAAACTTACCTTTTTCCAGCGCTGGGCGGAGAGCTCTCCTTCTCTCCTCCTCCGTCCTCGGCTGAATGCGCACGCGCGGCAAGAGCTGCGCGCGCATTCAGCCGGTCGCATAGGAAAGCATTTACAATGCTTTCCTATGGACGCTGGCGTGCTCTCACTGTGAAAATCACAGTGAGAAGCACGCAAGCACCTCTAGTAGATGAGACAGCCACTAGAGGCTTTGGGGGAAGGCTTAACCCATTAATAAACATAGCAGTTTCTATGAAACTGCTATGTTTATTAAAAAATGGGTTAACCCTAGCTGGACCTGGCACCCAGGCCACTTCATTAAGCTGAATTGGTCTGGGTGCCTAGAGTGGTCCTTTAAAGGGATAGAGTCCTTTATAAATCAAACATTATCGCTGAACAGAAAAAAAAAGAAAAAAACTTTAAAGAAATCAAAATTTCCCAATGCACTGACAATCCCATACATACATACAGGTGATACTCGAAAAATTAGAATATCGTGCAAAAGTTCATTTATTTCAGTAATGCAACGTAAAAGCGGAAACTAATATATGAGATAGACGCATTACATGCAAAGCAAGATAGTTCAAGCCGTGATTTGCCATAAGTGCGATGATTATGGCTTACAGCTCATGAAAACCCCAAATCCACAATCTCAGTAAATTAGAATATTACATGCAATCAATAAAACAAGGAGTGTACATAAAACAAAATCGGACCTCTGAAAAGTATAACCATATATATATGAACGCAGTACTTGGTTTGGGCCCCTTATACAGCAATTACTGCCTCAATGCGGCGTGGCATGGAAGCTATCAGCCTGTGGCACTGCTGAGGTGTTATGGAAGACCAAGATGCTTCAATAGCGGCCTTCAGCTCTTCTGCATTGTTCAGTCTCATGTCTCTCATCTTTCTCTTGACAATGCCCCATAGATTCTCTATGGGGTTCAGGTCAGGCGAGTTTGCTGGTCAATCAAGCACAGTAATCCCACTGTCATTGAACCAGGCTTTGGTGCTTTTGGCAATGTGGGCAGGTGCCAAGTCCTGCTGGAAAATGAAGTCCGCATCCCCATAAAGCTCGTCTGCTTAAGGAAGCATGAAGTGCTCCAAAATCTCCTGGTAGACGGTTGCGTTGATCCTGGACTTAATGAAGCACAGTGGACCAACCAGCTCCCCAAATCAACACAGACTGTGGAAACTTCACACTGGACGTCAAGCATCTTGCAGTGTGTGCCTCTCCATTCTTCCTCCAGACTCTGGGTCCTTGGTTTCCAAATGAGATGCAAAAGTTGCTCTCATCAGAAAAGAGGACTTTGGACCACTGAGCAACAGACCAGGTCTGTTTTTCTTTAGCCCAGGTAAGACGCTTCTGGCGTTGTTTATTGTTCAGGAGCGGCTTGACAAGAGGAATACGACATCTGAAGCCCATGTCCAGGATCCGTCTGTGTGTGGTGGCTCTTGATGCACTGACTCCAGCCTCAGTCCACTCCTTGTGAAAGTCCCCAAAACATTGGAATGGCCTTTTCCTGACAATCCTCTCCAGGGTGCGGTCATCCCTGCTGCTTGTGCACCTTTTTCTTCCACACTTTTCCCTTCCACATACCTTTCTATTAATGTGCTTTGATACAGCACTTTGGGAACATCCAACGTCCTTCGCAATTACCTTTTGAGGCTTTCCCTCCTTATGGAGCGTGTCAATGATGGTTTTCTGCACAACTGTCAGGTCAGCAGTCTTCCCCATGATTGTGATTCCTACTGAACCAGACTGAGAGACCATTTAAAGGCTCAGGAACCCTTTGCAGGTGTTATGGCTTACTTAGCTGATTAGAGTGGGACATTGTGAGCCTAGAATATTGCACCTTTTCACAATATTCTAATTTACTGAGATTGTGGATTTGGGGTTTTCATGAGCTGTAAGCCATAATCATCGCATTTATGACAAATCACGGCTTGAACTATCTTGCTTTGCATGTAATGCGTCTATCTCATATATTAGTTTCCCCTTTTACGTTGCATTACTGAAATAAATGAACTTTTGCACGATATTCTAATTTTTCGAGTATCACCTGTATATATATATATATATATATATAC